CCCGCCGCCACTACTACGGCCCTCAGAGACCCAGGACCGTGAATCTCTTGTCTTCCTGGGCTGCATTCTCCTCGTCGATAGCTCGTCGACGGCACTTCTCCCGGCGTTGCGCTGCGGGGTCTGTTGGATCCTGGCGGTTCCCGCGCTCAGCCATGGTGGTCGAGTTGCCGTGGGAAGTTCTTTGGGGTGTTGTGGGTGCTGTCTAGGTGTGGTGTGATGAAGGCAGCACGCGTGACCGGTGTCTGCTTCGGCTGCCCGGAAAAAGCGGGGCGTTTTTCCCCGGAACCGTGAAAGGACCAAGCCCCAAAAAATCCCAGCTTCCTCTTTTCACGTTTTCGGGGAAAAACGCCTCCATATGTGTTCAAGAAAAAACGGTTCCGTGAAATATTCCGTGTTTTCTCGGTCGATAAGAACCACCCTAAACAGCTTTTTTTTTGCAAAACAACAAAACAAAAAGCGTACCCCTAACGGGCCACACTTTTAAACAAAAAAAAACTATTAAAACAAAAGCAAAAACAAAAATAAAGGAGAACGCTTCCCACACCCGCGCAAAGAAAAAATCAAAGGTACCGTACCAGCACCAGGCACTACGCACCAGGGCATGGGAGTAACGGAGCAAACAGGACAAAGAGGTGGCAGTGTAGCTGGACCAATCATCATCTAGGTTCAAATCACGTTGTTGTTGATCAGTTGTTCTTCGTATGTACCCGCAGCTCAATCGCTTTTCGACCAGGGTGTAAAACGTCTACCACTTCAAGCAACAAGGTTTTCGTGTGATTGAGAGCGAAGTTTCTGATTGAGAGCGAGATTGCGCGATGCGCTGTAGCTGGACTGCCGCTGAGAGGTGGAGCTTGCTGCGTGACTTGAATTGAAGGCCTAGCCCGTAGCTACAAGCCGATACCCTGGTCATCCTGTGGGCGTCTCTCGTTGTGGAGCTACAGCGGGGAGCAGAATCTACAGCAGAGCTCACCGCCCGCGATCAAATCGCCCTGAAACAGTTTGAGGCAGGAATAGCCAATCTGGGGAAATCTAGCAACTTGTCTAGCTCCTAGCTGCAGCATCCGATCGCGATGACACGCATATGCTCGCGAAGCTGCTGATGAGACCTTCAATTTGCGCCGCTTCTTGGAAGAGCCCGTCCCCTACTTGCCAAGAAATGGCAAGAGGCGTCTGGACCCGAAATTTCATTTTTTTTGGCTCCCGCTCTCAATCGTATACTCCGCTCTCAATCAGGCAAAAACCCTGTTAAGCTGGGCCAGGCGCAAAGCTCGCTTTCGTTCGTTCGAGTTTCATTCTGTCGTTTCCACGAATTTGGGCTTGAAACTTTTCGGCTGCTCTCATGAGACAGTATGGGAAGCGCAGGTGCCAGAATTTCGAATCTGAGTTGATTAAGGTACTAAACCATCAGTTGGCGGCGCAGGGGGGGGATACGTCCAGTACTGAAATCAGCAACAAAAAGTTGCATCGCATAAGCTGAAACTTGATGTGCACTTACCTCGGAGCAGTGCGAGAACAATGATGATTGCTACAAGGCTACAAGGCTTAAGTTATCTTCTACAGAGAGATATGGTATCGTAAAGAATCCGACACAACACACAAGATAGCCAAGGAATGTGAGGATATCGCAAATTACATCACGGATTTACTAGTTGGAATCTTCAGTTTTCGAGGTGTGGTCGGCTGTTGTATCACGAAGACCTTGACGAGACGCACATTTTATTTATTTGTTTTTTGTCCCCTTACCCACAACAATAGGATTTCCTTTTGTCCTTAAATAGGGCTACCTCGTGAAAAAAATAAAAAAAAGGCGCGGCTAGTCAAGGTCTTCGCTATACTAGTGCCGACCACATGTCCAAATTTCAAGTTCGAATTCGTCAAAACCGTGGAGATCGCTTTCAGCCAATTTTCACGTTTCTTGGCTGGCCCAGCTTGTAGATTTTGTGTCCTTTGCCCATCCTCTTCCTATGCTCTCTGTCTTTGATGTTTTGATTCTGTTGCACCTCTTTCCAGCAGATATAACCAGTTGTTCTTTGCACGTTCCACCGCTGGACCGTCTTCTGTATTTTCTCGTAATGAGTGCATGACCATTTGCCTGCACCCCAAGATCGAAAACGCAGCACGTCATGGACGGTCTGCAGTTTGTCTGGATTCTACGGAATCAGGTGGAAATTCCCAGGCCAACAGAGAGCAGCTAAATAGCTGCGATTTTTGAGATCATCCCGTATGGTCGGGGAAGGGAAAACACTGGCTGTGACTGAACAGACCAACACGACGGACGCTTGACAGACTACCGACTGACGGTTCCTTTCAACCACGACACAGTACACTACACACACGCTGTGGACATCAACAGCGGCTATGCCGTCAGATCGTGAGGGAGACATACATACACACACAACAACATATTCGCCTGATTGAGAGCGAAGTATCTGATTGAGAGCGAGAGCCAAAAAAATTGAAATTTCGGGTCCAGACGCCTCTTGCCATTTCTTGGCAAGTAGGGGACGGGCTATTCCAAGAAGCGGTGCAAATTGAAGGTCTCATCAGCAGCTTCGCGAGCATATGCGTGTCATCGTCATCGGATGCTGCAGCGAGGAGCTAGACAAGTTGCTAGATTTGCCCAGATTGGCTATTTCTGCTCAAACTGTTTCAGGGCGGTATCGCGTCGGGCGGTGGGCTCTGCTGTAGCTTCTGCTCCCCGCTGTAGCTCCACAACGAGAGACTCCCACAGGATGACCAGGGTAGCGGCTTGAAGCTACGGGCTAGCCCTTCAATTCAAGCTACACAGCAAGCTCCACCTCTCAGTGGTAGTCCGGCTACAGCGTATCGCGCAATCTCGCTCTCAATCAGATGCTACGCTCTCAATCAGGCGAATATGTTGATACACGTACCTCTACTCTTTGTTCAGCAGCAGCATATACGTACGTACATACATCATCAGCAGACGTCAAAGAAATATAATAATGACAGCATGCAGCAGCAGCGACAGCAAAGAAGGGCGTCATCTTTTCCTCTACCAAATGATTTCCATGTACATGCAATTCTTCTGTGGCTCGCTCGTGGGCGACAGTTGTAGTTGTTGTCGTCTTCACATTAAAAACCGTTTCGCTCTCTCTCTACCCAGTACATTGAAATGTCCGTGCTGGTACAACACTCCACGCGGTCGAATCCCGTGGTCACAGGTTAACTTACTCTATAAAGGTTAACCATCGCGCTGTAAAGTCGCCCTCCCGCGAAACCCGTCTGCTAACGGGACGGGTAAAATACCCTTCTCTATTTTGTGTGTACCGAGCCCATCTATACCACGCCTTTTCCACCTCATCTCCTCGTGTTTTCATCTTCCTTCCCATTGCGCCCCCCCCTCGCCCACAGGGGGCGAGGGGGCCTTTCAGTACCCTTTAGTATTGAATGAAAAGGAACACAACCTTTTTTCTCCTATGGTGATGTGCTGGTATTCGCTTGGTCCTGCCATGGCTTGGTGCTACAGTGCCGTAGGGCAATTTTCATGTCCGGACTACAGAGCACCGCTAGCTCACTGCCAGCCGGCCCGGTAGGGGGGCTGTTGGGATGTAAACATGTGTAGTTTGTATCCCTGGCACTGGACACTGCTGTGTACAGAACAGTGTAGGTGAATAGGCTCACAGAGTGATGGTGATCACTTGGATATAGGATTAGACAGAAAATGGTTTGGATTGGCGCTTAGGTGGCCGAAAGGTAGAGACAGATGAGGAGTGAGCAGGTGGGGGCGAGCACCACCCTCTGGCCTGTCACGGAAAACGTCATACGGGCTTCAAGTCTACTAATCATACGATAATCGTATAGTCCCATGCATCACAATATCAACAACATATTCGCCTGATTGAGAGCGTAGCATCTGATTGAGAGCGAGATTGCGCGATACGCTGTAGCCGGACTACCACTGAGAGGTGGAGCTTGCTGTGTAGCTTGAATTGAAGGGCTAGCCCGTAGCTTCAAGCCGCTACCCTGGTCATCCTGTGGGAGTCTCTCGTTGTGGAGCTACAGCGGGGAGCAGAAGCTACAGCAGAGCCCACCGCCCGACGCGATACCGCCCTGAAACAGTTTGAGCAGAAATAGCCAATCTGGGCAAATCTAGCAACTTGTCTAGCTCCTCGCTGCAGCATCCGATGACGATGACACGCATATGCTCGCGAAGCTGCTGATGAGACCTTCAATTTGCACCGCTTCTTGGAATAGCCCGTCCCCTACTTGCCAAGAAATGGCAAGAGGCGTCTGGACCCGAAATTTCAATTTTTTTGGCTCTCGCTCTCAATCAGATACTTCGCTCTCAATCAGGCGAATATGTTGTTTATCGTAGAATATTCTTGGGGATATCTGTAGCTATTTTCATAGGTTATGGCTAGGATTTGAACCGTTGGGTGTTTACATAAATCCGGTCACTCAAAACAATTAACCGGAAGACTATTCCAGTAATAGTTACTGAATTCCTACGAAGTATGACTTGATACTCTGTACGGTAGATTACAGCAGTACCAATACTGACCACTGAACATTGAACATTCCAACAGGGGCAGCAGTCGATAGCTTCACACTACGCAACAGTATGTTCCAGACAAGGGCTAAACTACGTTAACACCAGGCTGTATACTCTCACCTGAGCAGAACGTTTGCGATTCTCTGCGAGTTCGATTGTAGACTTGCCAAGCATTTCGTGATCGACAACAGCTAGCAAGCAGCGGTACTCCATCATCCACACGGTTCCAACTTCTCCGATACATAACCCGGCCAGGCATGCATAGTCAGGCGGGGTTATCACTCACAGCGACATCCATCAGTAGCGCTCAGATCACGTTCGTTCACAAAAGGTTTGGTGATGACTTCCGGACTCTTCGGTCGCTGACTGCTGGGGGCAGCCGTCGGTCGGAGGAACGTTTTATCATCGCTTGGGGAATGGAACCAATAGCAATTATATGGTCCATTGGATCAGTTATCAACCTGACAGATGGTTACAGATTCTGTCGGAACCCCCCCACCGGCCACGTATGGGTAATGTCCCAGTGCCCATCTTTTGGGTAATACCCCAGTGCCCATCATAGGGACGTGTACTTCGGACACTCGTTCCTTGCGGCACAGGTGCCTGTCATCACACAATTTACAGCCAGTGCATACGGCCGGCCAGAACACTATGCTGTCAATCAGATGCGAAGTGGAACCCGTGTGTCTCGCGGGAGATAAAAACTGTTGCTGTGGCGTGCTACTGTTCTATTCTTGACACCGTTGGTCGATCACTTGATGAAAGTATTGGATTGGATGAGGCCTTCTGCCGCCCGGCAGGCGGACCGACCGGGGTTCTCACCCTAGGTATCTCGCCGCGGC